TGTATAATAATATGTTCGTACAAGAACCCTTTTGTGCGTTGTTGTGCGTGTGTTCGTATGTGTTTGTGTTCGCGTGTATGTGTGTCTGTTTCTGTCAGAATAATTGGGAGAGACAAAGAATTTAAAGTGAAATAAACATAGTGAACACTGATGAAGGTAACGGCAAAATAAAGTGCATGACAAACAAGGTGTTGATGTTGTTGTCGTCGTCGTCGTCATCGTTGTTGTTGTTGTTGTTGTTGTTTATGTTGTTGTTGATGATGCTGATGATAGGTGTGGTTATTGCTGTTGCTGTTGTTGTTTATGTTGTTGTTGATGTTGCTGATGTTGTTGTAGTTATTGCTGTTGCTGTTGTTGCTTTTGTTGATGTTGTTGTTGTTGTTAATGAGTTTTGGTTGTATATTGGGAGAGAAAGGGCCAGAGAGATGAATTCGTTTATTAGCACACGAGCCAGTTATTCTATAAAAACAATTATTGTTTTGCTAGATCTAGCCAACTGCTCCAATGACACTGCTTTGTAATTTATTATTTTTCTATTAATACAATTCTCGTCTGAATAATGAGAGTCGATTTCTGCATGGCTTAATTTAAGCCTACTTGTAACTATTGTGAGTAGATGGTATACTTATTTATTTGATCAATGTTCACAATATTATTATTATTATTATTATTTTCCTCGGCCATGACTGAGGGTACCTGAAATTTTACATTTGTTGCTTGCAATCTCCGATTTTGGTAGGCAATACCGATAATAATATGTAGAGCGAAGTACTTGTTCTTGTACCAGGATACTTAATCTTGTTGTCCTTTTAGCAATGCTGAAAGGTAAAAAAATTTAAATAAAAGTCAGCAATACGATGCACATTACGTGTTGCTCGGTGTTATTGTTACTCTTTGGTTTGAAAGTTCGTTGACTTTGTCGGATAAACAATGTGGTTTACTTCTCGACATTGTCACAGAGAAAGTTGTGTTCGTTCGCTTGATGACTTTTGACACTGTCCCTTTTCAGTAATCGTCAAGGCTGTCTTTCACGTTGACTACTTGGATCCATGATGGTGTGTGTGTGTGTGTATATATATGTGTGTGTGTGTGTGTGTGTGTGTGTGTGTGT